AATGGGTAGCTCTTCTGTGAGTGCTATCAGTGGGACTCGGATTTCATCAGGTAAGACCGATGTAAGTCTAATTTTGAGTCCCAGTTTAGAGGTAAATCTATATTTCACCAAATGAAATGTAAAAAAAAAAAAAAAAAAAAAAAAATAGTGACTTTCTGAGGGCATCATCAGTTATCTTTTTAAGCAACCACTTTCAATACTAGAATAAGCATTGGGTGGATGGGCTAAGGAAAATGCCAAAAAACGGCTTCTGGCAGACTGAAAGGGAAAGTGAATTCTTAAATCAGGGGCTATTTGTAGCCCATCTAAACTTAGAATATATTAGTTTGAGTGTCTCTGAGTACATTACAGATTCATCTCAATTTGACATAAGCTTTTTGAAAACTGCTTTAATATTAAGTAAATTCATGAATGCATAAACTTTAATGGATAAAACATGATCTTTCTGCTGAGGAGTTTCGACTGTAACTAAAAAATGGATGCATTTCATCTTATTATTTGCAAGTAGTGAATAAATCTGTCACAGGTAGCCTGAGATATTTGAAATAATAAGAGTGACTTGTGAGACCAGTGAATCTCTTCCAGAGTCTGGCTTATGTGGTCTGTGAGCTGTACATAATAAAAACAGTGAGACTTAGAACCACACTCTGTTGAAAAGGCCTTGTCTAATTGAAATTTGAGAGCCTGGGCAAAGTAGATACACAGAACCAAGTATTTATAAAGAAACTAAATGAACTGAAACCAAAGTTTTAATGGAAGATAAAGTGCATTAAAACCTGATCAGCCAAAGCTTCAGGCACAAAGAAGTGATCAACCTCGCTTTTACTGTGTTATTAAAAACTGCACAGAAAATGTGAATTTTCATTTTGTGGATTCCTTCAGTCTGAAGTTTCAGTTGACTGCCATTTTGAAGCAGAGAAAGAGCTTAGGAGCCCTCTTTGGAACGCAATTATCATTGTCATTCCCCTCACACCACTGGGAGCCTTGACTCCAAGGGTATCCCTCTGGCAGGCTGCCTCGGAGCCACAGGAACCTCAGGAGACCTCATCTTGAGGACCGGGGTACTTAGGGCAGGGCAGACATTCCCAGTGGGACATCCTGGAGCCAGAAGTTAGGAAAGACAAGGTTGCCAGGAACCTGACAAGAAACCAGAAAATATGTCAGATGTACTGTTTTTTTCTTTTTGTTTTTCTTTTTTTTTTTTTTTTCCTTTCAATTCTGCTTGCTTTCAGCAGAAATCTATGTAGATTGACTAGCAGAATTGTTTCTGCTTCAGTAAGGTGTTGACTTGTTTTGTCTTACGGAAAATTTAAATAGCATTGCTTATGTTGTAAATGGCATAAGATTTCTATGCTTGGGAACTGTGTATAAGAAGTAAATGCTCCCTTGAGAACTCTTCATCCATTTTTAACCTTCCTCTGTTCACGAACGTGTTTGTCTTCCAACTGGTTTGATATGAGAGATCTGATTATAACAGCCATGCTCCAGTTCAAGCATCCTGTCTGAGCCTGTTGTGATGCTTCCCATCACTTAGTTACTCACTTTCTAACCCTTTCCTTTATATGTGCTGTGTGGACACCTGCTGTGGACAATGTCGAAGCAACACAACAAAGTATATTATTGTCACCACAGAGAAAGAGTAGTGAGTCTAAATTCCTCGTAAAGTGAGGACCCTGACTGATTCTTACTGCTAATAATACTGGAATTTTCCGGGAGCACATTAGCAGCTATGGTTTTCATTTCGCCCCATTTCTTATTGGTGCTCTGAGAGTTTCAAATAAGAAGTCGGTTCATATACTGCTGCTCTTGCTTTTTTTTTTTCCCCCTCAGTTTCTCCAGGTCAGAATTTCCAGTCTTGCCTATCATTCTAGTAAATAAGCAGTGAACTCAATTCTAATGGCCTTTGAATTAATAATGAAGGTTGTCTGTATGGGGTCTTTTGCTGCTCTTAAGTTTTGCGGCCATTTAAATTGTTCTCCTTTGGATAGGGCACAGTGTAAACTGCAATCATCCTTGGCAACTACTTTTTGTGTTGGTCATCATTAAAAGCCAAACATGACTGCTGTGCAACAGTCCAAGTAGTAACATCCCAGCACCAGTCACCTACTTGAACATTAAAACATTGCAAGTTCCAAGCCTTCTTTCAATTTTTGTCTTTGTTCTTTTTTCTGGGATTCAACACAGTTTTAAATATCCAGTAGTTTTGAATTGTGAATCAAGATGAGTGTGGTGATTATACAAATAAAATGAGATTAATTTGGTTTTAAAATTATTTCACTGTCAACATTAATTCAATTTCATTTAGAAAAAAAAAAATAAATAAAAAATAAAGGCATCCAGCCTTTTATATAGTTTGTTTCTGGCCTCCCTCCTGACGATGATTTCTTTCCTAGCTAATCAAAGCAGACAAAACGTGGGTTTTTCCCCTCTCTGTTTCCACTGCGAAGGCAAATCAAACGTGACTCACTACAAAAGTGTAGTGGGTTCAAGGAGGGGAAGAACAGGGCTGAGTGAAAGATGAGTGAGAAAGTACACCTTCAGTCCAGCACGGAGGCTGCTCCTGGAATAATTTTTGGCAAAGAAAAGGAGAAGACGTGTGGGAGAAGGATTAGAGGCCCTCTGTGCCTGCAGCCTGGGACAGCCCATCGTTCATCATGCCTGTGACAGCCCTCTTTCTCAAGACAACCCTTTCCTCCTGCTTTTTGCATTTCTGTGGACCCAAGCGTTTACGGTGTGGGTTTTTTTGGTTTGGGCTTGTTTCATTTTTTTTTAATTCACAGGCTTCCAGGGTAGGTGTACACTGGAAAAGCCTTAGAGGCCTGACAAGAGTTACTTGATACTGATTTTCTGCCTTCCTTTCTGTTGCTTCCTCTCAACACACAATATTAAGGCAAAAATGATTTCATCTTTTCCTCAATCAACTGAAACATGTTCTTTTCTGTGATGCCTGCAATGAAAGGTATTTTCCAAATTTAATTAACAAGTCAAACAATAACACAAATGCTTCTGCAGAATTTTGCTAAAGGTTCTCTATCCTCAGTTGAATAATGAAGGTTTTTGAGAGCATGTGCTTCTGGTTTTGTCATTCACGGAGAGCATCCATTTAATTATTTTTTTTTCTGGCTTTCACAAGCAAGCTGACTGATAGCTGGTTTGTTCTCTATTTCAGGTCGTGGAGACTAATTTGGTTGCTTTTGACTGTCACTGGATCATTATAAATGAGGTAACTGTCAAGTGAAAATTGTTGTGGATCGTGAATCCTGTTTTCAGGCTTACTGAAAATATTCATGCTGATCATGACTGCTAACAGGAAGCAGTAGCTATGACAAAGTTCAGGCATGCTGGGGGAGTAGATGGTGCTTAATAAAAATAGAATGACGATTTCTTGGACTTTGCTGTTTTGTCTTGCCGATTTCAAACAGTAGTCCTTGAATGAATAAATGCAAAATAAAATGAAAAAAAGCTCTTTACTTCCGAGTATCTTGACGTTCCACATTTGACTTGAGCTGACTGTTTTTAGAGAATCTTTTTAAGATCTTTTTTCCTATGTAATCTTTTGTAGTGGAGTGCTTGTGTTTCATTCATATTTTAATGATTTTTCTTAATAATAAAAATATTAATAATAAAATCCCATCTTTCCCTTAAGAATTCATTCATGGTTGATGCACGAAGCTATTGATATTAGTGGGAGACTTTTTGGTGGACTTCTGGATCAGGTCATATATGAATGTTTATGAAGGGGAAAAAAGAAAGTTAAATTGAGATCCTGTTTTTAAACTGTGAAATAGGTTGTTCCGTGAACTGTTGTCAGATAAAATATGACAAGTCAATATGTGAAGTAACTTTGCATATGAAACATTGAACAATGTAGTTGTTCTTACTTTGGACAACGTTCAGATTTTTCTTTTGTTTTATGAAAAGCAATTTAGGTCCAGAATGGCTGAATTCACTGGGGAGATAACTCTCCCCTAACATGTAGATTGTGCAACTACTGTATATTCTCAGGATAAAAGATTGCTTGGAGATATGTGTGTAAATTCCAGGTCTGTCCTCTGGATTTACTGTGCACTTCTGTTTTCATACTTAATTACTAGATTTTCATTAGTACAGTGTGCTAATAGTGAGGTAATTTAATCCAAAGCATTTTTTCAAGGTTATGGTAAGGTATAACGTTGTTGCAGTACTTGTTTAAACCAGTGGATTTTTAGCCAATTTTCCCTGGGGAAACTTACATCTCCGAAAGTGCTATGAAGACAACCCAGGTCCAGCAGAAATTATTGGTTTCAGCCCTGCAGTGCTGCTGACCAGTAATGTGTGTGTTTTCCAGCACTGAATGGGGCCTTGCTGGTTGAGAAACCAGTTTTCAGCTACAGGTGTTCATGTGAACAACATACCTGTTTTCTTTTTCCTGTCAGATTAATCTAGAATTCACTTGTAGTGAGTGGAATCTGGGAGTGTTCATCTCTATTCTTCAGAGTTAACGCTTATTTTAAAAAGAGCATTAACTAAATCTAAAGCAGTCCACCATTAACCTCTGTATCAACAGATTAGACAACAATTTCTTAGGCAGAGCCTAAATATTGGCTTGTTGTTCAAGTTAAACACACTGCCACTGGTTTTTCATTTTCAGTGTTAACTTGAACTGGAAAGTTCAAAAGAAGGTGCTTACTTTTAGCTGTGTCAGCTCCTCCACCCTCAAAAAGCAAAATAAAACTGAGGATGCATTCCTAGTGTGCATGCTTTCTCTTTGCTTTTTATTCAGAAATTAGTGTCTCTGTGGAAAAAATTCTGCTTTTGGAGCAGTGTTGTTTGCACATTGCAGCAAATTAGTGGTTACCACCCAACTGCCTTCTCCACTCCAAAACTCATCCTTTGGGCTGTGGTCCCAACAGCTAGGAGAGCTGAATAATGTATGCAGAGAAATGTACATTGTCCCTTCTTAGTTTTATAGTCTTGTATGTGAAATGGGTGAAAGCTGTGATTAAGTTTGTTCTGACAAACTGTGCTGTAAACCATAAAATCTCTACATCTCATTCAGTCGTTCCTGCTGTCAGTTTTAAAGAAAGTGAACATGTTTAATGCTGTCTCAGCTGAATCTGCTTCTAGGCCTAAATTCATACTCAAAAGTAACTTTTGAGCTCTGTTTGTTTTCAAAATGCTAATAATCTCAATATTTTGGGGACACAAAAATCAGATTAGCAACAAGTAAGATTTGTAGATAATGATGTGGAGAGAATCATGTTTTGCCCTATTTCTCCTTATCACTATGTTCAAATTACAACGGAAATTTAAATATTTCCTGAATGATGTATGTTGCATAACATTACTTGCTTATTGCAACATTTTACCAGTTCGGTAATGAGATCACAGTGCTTCCATTTCGACAGTGCAAGATTTGGAAATGCAGTGATTTACAGGCCCCTTACTGTGTGATATGTAAAATAGCTATCTTCACATCCAAGTCCATTTGATATGGTTGTCCATTAGCTGTTGATGACCACAGTACTTCCATATGACTGTGAAATGATCTCAGAGATCTGCCCATTTTGTCGCTTACGTGAATCTTTTCTGCCATCTTAGACAATTTAGACATCTGTGTTTGCGTGCCTGTATTGACTAAATAAGACTGTCAACTAAGTGACTTTAATACTGCTTCTCTGGCCTCCTAATTGGAAATTCTAGATGATCTCTTACAGTGGAAATGCATTATTTTGCAAAATCCACATACGATTCAAATAATTCCTTGCACTGAAATACCAAAATAAGCTTGAATTGTCTTTCCTTTTCCATCACTATGCCAAGGGGATACAACACAGTTACCAAGTATGATAATACAAAAGGAAATACCACCTTCAGTTCTGTGATCAGGAATCTGCTTAAGCTTTGTGAGTTAACATCTGTTATTTTAATTGCTCACATTAAATACTGTAGTGCCTGGAAAGAGTTCCTTAATTTTTATTGTCCTATTAGTTGCTATTTTATGTAATACTTCAAGCAGATTTGCTTGAAGAGTGTGTATCGTAATGGAAATGCATGTGTGGGCAGAGGGGGGTTGTTCGCATAAAATGAAAGGATTCATAATTTGCTACGTCGTATTAGTTCTTTACAAATAATACAAATCTCTTCTGATCAGTGTAGTCAACTGAGGAAACACTCTCCAAATAAATGTTCCTATTTCTTTAGGGCGTTAAAGCAGATGGTGCAATTCTTTATTTAAAATTTGTGAGAGTCATAGATTTGAATGTAGTCGTGATAAAATACGCCTTAACAAAATATGAGAATGAATTTCTCGCACTCTTTCTCCCTCTGTCTGTCTATCTCTGCTTGCTTCTTTCCCTCTGCACAATAGTAAATATAACCTCAAAAAGCCCAGGATAGTAAAATTATATTTCTTCTATGACTCTTAAATCACAAGTGCACAGTAAGCTTACATTTTATTTAGTGGAACTGAAAGATGGGCATTTGTGTTATTTTCATCACTTTTCTTTCTTTTGCTCTTTTTAGATGAAAGAAATGTGTTGTTTGGGGGGTTTTTTTGTGTGTTGGCGGTTTCGGGGGGAGTTGGGGGGGGGGTTATTTATTTATTTTAAACCCATGTGTGTCTCAGGCATTTTCCTTTCCTTTGTGAAAACATTCAGGGTCATCTTACTGTGCCCAAGGCTGCCAACAGTTCTCTATTACTATTGTTTACTCAAGGGCAGCACAAAACATTTTCCATTGCCTGCAGTTACCATACAGGAGGTGAAAATATTAATGCTACTGTACAAAGGATCAGTTTGATTTCATCTGCAATAATAGGCACAATTATGACCAGCTCTATCGCAATTAGAATGGAATGGGTTCACAGGAAAGCATTGCATAAGAAGAAACTGAAAACGTTGGCTTAACTAGCCTGTGAAAACAAAGACTGAAAGAAGATAGTTCTCTGTTTATAAACACATACAGAATGTAGATAAATGCATCGTTGTCAAGGGCTGGAGGGCAAGGTTGGCACAAGAACAAATGAGTTCAAATTGCCCCTGAATAAATTGAGGGCAAAAGTTAGTACAAGGTTTCTAATTACCAGAGACATCAGAGTCTGGAAAAACTTCTTCTTCAAGGAAAGAATGAAAAAAAAAAAAAAAACCCCAAACTTTTTCAAAGAACATTTTATGGGAAAAGATCCAATAGTATTGCGCATCGTAGCAGAACTGAGGACTGAGGGACCCACAGAGTTGTACTCAAAGGCTACTTTCAGATGAACATACGTTTTTCCTGGGAGAGGGCTGGTCCTTGGCCGATATATTCACCTTATTCCACTGTGTTTCAGCCCAATGCAGTCCACCATGAAGAGGAGTGTAGAGCATGACTGTGTTTTAAGCTCGACCAGCTAGATAAGGTCCTAAAATTACAGCTCAGTTCCAGGAGCTCACATAATTCTACATTTTCATCTGGATAATTGATTAATAATAGCATTAGAGGTTCATTTGAATCCTTACATTTTCCAGTGGTGATGGCAGGTCAGGTGTGAAATGCCACCCTCTTTGGTACACGTTGGTGACCAAGCTGCCAGCTCTTTTTTTCAGATGGGTGAGCGTCAGTGGACAGACTGACTTAGCCCTGATTTCTCCAAACTCTTGGATTTTTTTTTTTCCCTGTGAAAGCTAAAATTTGTTTCCTCCTTGTCCTGTCAATTTTTTCTTTTTCATCATGTCCCCCAGAACCCAAAGGAGATATTACAGAGCAAATGATTATGGAGTTCAAGATCTCCCTTTACTTGTCTTGGAGATTCATCTAGTTATGCCTTCCCCTCAACTACTCCTCTTCGGAAAGTGCTGAGAAATTCAGGAAGGGCTTAGCACAAGTAGGCTATGGCATGGGCAGTGACAGCCCAGAGGCCTCAAGGGGGGTGGGCAGTGGCCACCCTTTCCCTCCCTGCCCCCTGCTCACTGCTGCTGGCTTTTGGAGGAGGAAGAAACACTCTCTCTGAGTGTCACAAAGGATGTGATGAAGACATGGCATGCACTGGAAAATAGGGCATATCCAGTATGTGATAAATACTGGAATTATCTTCTTGGCCCAAAGTTAAGATGTTTCAGTAAGAAGAGGTATTACTGCCTTTGGTGCTTATTATAGCAGGATGTGAATAAATTCTTTCCCTCCATGTGTCTCACTGCTGCTGTGGTTGCTCTCTGGTCAATGGTAAGTCTCCGCCTAAGTTGCTTATCTTAAAATAATGAGGCAAAGCTGAACAGCAGTGTGTATTAGGTGTCCAATATACAGTCTTGCTTCCACTGGAGTTTCTGCCTAATACATCCAGGTGATCCTTTTCAGTTCCCTTTCCCAAATTCATCTGTAAAGAGCTATTAATTTAAAATAGCATTTCTTTCCTTATTTATTTGCCTACTCAGATGAAATGTACATCTAATTTTATCCTTGTTCCATTTGAAATAGGACAGCCTCCCCTTTATTCAAGTTCAGACCAACTAAAGAAAGGTTTGGAACTATGTATTGAACTTCTGATTTTTCAGATAAAGGCCCCACATAACCTAGCCTAAATTTATACAGGTGCCAACTCAGTTCAACTTGGCCAACATTGTAATTTTTTTTGACATTTGGTGCTTGTATAACAGATCATCTGCCATCCTTATATCATTATATTTTAACCTCCTTTGAAGTGCAAATGAAAATTGTTTCCTCTCATACAATAGTTGCTTTAAATAGCTTTCTTAAGTCAGATCCAAAATTCAAGAATGAGAGATGATATTGGAGAGTCATTATATAAAAGGCTCGTCACTCAGTCAATGCCAAGTATTAAAAAAAAAAAAAAAAAAAAAAAAAAAAAAAATATAAAACAAAAAAAAAAAAAAAAAAAAGACAAATATATAGCAAATGACTAAAGTTGATTTTGGGTTTGCAAGGCATTGCTTTGTTGTTAACCTAAAATCTGAATTTATGATATAATCAGTGGAATTCACAGCATTTAAAATAATAGCTGCCATTAATCTATTGATGTACATAGCTCCTCATGTACCATATAAAAATCTCTTCGGTGTTTGGATTCTGTTGTTAGTTCCCAGATGATGTATAAAAATATGAGGTAGTAACCTAAAGGTTAAAATGAGAAAACGCTAATTAAAATGGTCCAAAAAATGCTGAATAAAGAAAAAATAGATATACTTCGAGGTAGAAAAGATAGATGCTTGAGCAGCTGAAAGTCAAAATCTCTTTTAAAAGTGTTATTTATCAATATAATGTGGCTGTACAGGTATCAGTTTTTTACATTAGTGGAATGAGTCTAGTGGTCTTGCTGTTACACTTCGGGCATCATGTATAATGAAACCAGTCAAACATTTTTTAAATCCTCTGAGAAAGGATTTAGTTTAGAATCAAGAAGCTTTTTGAGGTTTCCTTTGCGATTATATTGGATATATTATAAAAAAAATTACATGCATTTTGCTAAAATGGCATTTATATTTTTTTTACCTTGCAGCTAGAGAAATGATACAGACTAAATGAAAAGACGGCATCTTAAGCTGAGAGAAACCATTATCTGTGGTACATTAAGAATTAATCGACCAGAAATGCAAGATATTACGCTGGACACAGCTGATATCATGTGTTATTTTTGTTTGTGGAAAAATCTATATTTCATGAAGAACATTAATAACAGATTAATTCAGAAAATGTGGCAATCTGTCAAGAATAAAATACTTTTACTGTAGTCAAGAGAGTAGAAGTTAAAATTTACATCTCATGTATTTTTCTTCCAAAATTTAAAGGAAAGAAACAAATATCAGGATGTTCAAAGAAGTTGCTTCAAAATCATTAATTTAAAGAATGTTAATTGAAGCTCCAAAAAAAAAAGCCAAAATTACCAGGATAGTTGTCTTAAAATTTAAAGAGCTGCTTTTTCAGAAAGCTTGGCTTCCTTTTCACAAGAAAGGTTTTGTAATTTGAGTTCAAGTCTATGTCCTGGTTTCTCCTAAATTCTTGATTATGGGTATAGATCAGGAAGCTAGATGCAGAAAAAGATGATGGCATTTAGTTACAGGTAGAACAGTGCAGATGTGCTGTATCCTTTAAAAAAAGAAAAGCTGTAGATACATAAATGAGAATCAGAAATATTCAATAAACTGTGGCTGTATGCAAGGATATGCTAAATGCAGGCTGTTAACAGGAGCTCCTCAAGCACCTCCCTTGTTGGGGGGGGGGCTATCCATAAATTTAAACATCTAGGAAGTTCGGGGCATCACCCTACGTAATTCAGACAGATTATGAACAAACAGTTCAGCATGATGAAAAACACAGTTAAAAAAATTGAGTATATTTATAGATTATTTCTCCTGCTTTACAGAAAAACACAGACCCAGAATTGTCTTGAAAGCTACCAGCTGACCCTATTTGAGTCATCAGAAGAACGATTTAACTTTTAGTTAAAGGTGTTTGCCTAAAGTTCAAGTTCTTATGTGAAGGTCGAAGTCGCTTGCTGTTGCTTATGAGCATACACTCCTCTTGCTCCATGTTCCCCAAGGGCCTCATCATTCAATGGTGTAAAATACCATGTTCCCAAACTGCAGGAATTTATATCTGTAAAGAAATGTTTTTCTGGTTTTCCTAACCTGCCTTAAAGTTAATATTTTTAAGCTTAATATTTCCCATATTGATGTATTTACTTAGTTATTTTTTTTCTTTAAAGTGTGTGTCTGTAGAGCTGAGTGTTCAACTGTAATCCTTAATAGGTACCCTATGGAGTTAAAAGTTGGTTTTAAATTAGGTCTTGCTATAAACAAGCACATAAACACCTAGAATGCTCTAATGCATTTTCTTTACCCTTTTGGTAAATGATTTTGCTAATTTGCACATTGTTTATAGGTTCTTGATATTCTATTTCCAGGAAATGAGCACTTAAGGCCTGAATAATTGTCTGTACCTTCACAACTCCTAAGTAATGCTACCCTTAGAAATACATCATGGTATGCCTTCCTACTGATTTACACATTATCTGCCAAGGATGCTGTGAAACACATTTAAGTAAAAGATCAAAGGAGAGGGAGAGAACACTCAAAATGAAACAACTAAGTCCAGTTACATCTACAAAGATTTGGGGATGTTTGGGCACAGCAAGTTTTAAGCTTTCACAATTATTGGAAGGGTGGCGTGTCAGTTGTTTTGACAAGCATGCATATGTTCTTTTTGAGGCTATGGCAGAGGTCGACAACATCAATCAGCCTCTTGGTCCTCTCAGTTTACTTTTGGTTTATAATCTGGTGGTAACATTTCTTTTAACTTTCATGCAAATTCTTTTATGCATATGTATTTTAACTTTTATGCCTATTCTCTCCCTTGCCTTCTCTTCCAGGAAATAAATGATGTGGATGTGCAGGAACTGGTGAGAAGGTCAATTGGAAGGTTAACAATTATTCGACAGACGTTTCCAGTCCCCCAAAACATAAGTCAACGCTGTTTCCGTGGCAACCACAGAATATCTTCATCACTGTGTGATCCAAAGGACCCTTTCTCCCAAAGCATGGAGGTAGTTCACATGCCAGTCTATTCACACACAGGAATGTCTTTCTAGATAAGTTCAAAGTTTTTCCCCAGGGACTTAGCATAATTTGATGTTTATTTTTCATTTTCTTTCTGAGGCTCATGGCATTGACAATAAAATACTTGGGCAGTGGGTGAGTGTAACTGATGGACAAGAATAACTCGCCCACTCCACAGCAATTGAGAAGAAAGTCCAAAAAAGCCACCTGATCTCCAGGCAGTGGGGTGGTTGTTTCGTTGCCCTGCTAAATTTTATTTTTTGTCATCTCACAGAGGACAATTTCCTCCCCATAGCCAATGTCTCCTGAGTTGCCGAGTTTCCCAAATTTGTTGTCAATAGGAAAGCCTTCCTGTGGAGCACCCATGTTATCTGTTTCAAGAGTCTTAGTGTCTGCACCTAAATCTATGCCTGTGTTCCAAAGAGATCTTATTTTCAGGGTTGTTAACTATAAATCACAATTAAAACTGTAAAAACCTTCCTACCACGTAAAATCAGCAACAGGGTCACAGTCACCGTCCTCCTGACTTCACATAGTATTTCCAAGAGCAAGTCCTCTATTTCTCTTGTGTATCTGGTTAGGCTTCATCATGACAAAGCTATGGCAAATCCGGAGTGTGAAATTGGCTTAAGATGTTGATTTTACTTTTTTTCTGTGTGGTCATTTATGAAGTTGTGGAAAGATGGCTGCGTTGGCAGCAGTGCAGGAGGAGTGTATCTGACTTATCACAAGATGACTACTTTTTGCTGCTGCTGACAGAAAGGACAGAAGACAATGGAGGAGAGAGAAAATAGGGAGGTGTTGAAAAGTGTCCTTGCCTAAAATGAAAATATGTAAGAGGAAAAGAAGTGTGGCTGATCTTGCCCTGTTTCAGATTAGCGGTAACAGCCTTTGCCTCACTAATTGTTCACAAAGCAGCCAGTAAGCAGCTATTGATGACATGAAGCACTTTGGCTGTAGCACAGTGCATAGTGATCCTATTGGAGTTCTTAAACAAGGCTGTCTAAGGTCAATAGATGCACAGGGTATCTCTAGAGGCTATTTAGGAACTGTGAAAAGTCTTTAGGTTGTGCCATTCTGTTATGGCAGCATGGTCCTAAGGGGAGATTTGATAGTCTATTGATAATGTGTAAAAACTGGGGGTGATTACTTGCAGCCGCTAGAGATTGCAAAGAGCAGTTTTCATGAACAAAGATACTAACCTCAGCAAGGCAGAAAACAAGAATTGTGTATTGATGGGAGGCTTCACGCTTTGATTTATTTTTCTCTTCAACTTCACTTTCATTTCATTTTTACTTCAACAGTGAACTGACTCTAGGAAAGAAAAGTTCTAGATATCAAAGTTTATTCTCTGCAAATTGGCAAATTCCATTTAATGTGTTAGATTAGACCTTATACCTTAACCTGTGCTTCTTGATCAACTATAGTTTGGAGAGCTATAATATTCCTATTGAAAGCTTTCATAACGTTTTGGTTCAAAGGAATGGTGGAAGCTTGACTGGTTTAACTGTTCTGCACGATTGAGTTCTTTTTTCATGCTTTCCCTGAGATGGCTGTGCTTCATTAGTAGCTGAGTGAGACAACACTAAAAAATGAAAGGAAGAAAAACTCTGACACAGTTTCCCCTGTGTCTTCATAGAATGCACAGACCCTTGAGTAGCTGTGGGGTTTGTTCTCTGTTTCTTTGTTCTCCCCAACAATATCATAAATTAACTTCTATTCCAGTAGGGAGTTGGAACAGTTTATAAATTAAAATTTTTAATGCTTTTTTTTTAATGCCATCGAAGTGTGACTAATCAGAAATATTCTCTGGAAATTATAAGGGTGGATTTCTTGATTTATTTTTTCTGAATTACTCCCCCTGAAGTCTATGTGAATAATTAAATTTTTTCAGCATCTTTATTAAAACACTGAAAAATATTTTGGCAAAGAACTCTCATCGTGTCTCTGGCATTGTCCTAGTTGAAACAACTTTTATAAATTTGTATCATTTTGGAGGCAGGAAGTTAAAAACTAGATTCAAGGAATTATTTAGTACCATAACCCTTTTGTCTAAAAACTATGTGCAATAGTCTAGGTATTCATAAAATAAACACTGTTAATCCAGATCAATCGTTCATACTTAATCCGATTGCTAAATACCTTTCTTCTACACTCTGGAACAAAAATATCACATCTGAATTTTGAATTGCATCAACAGGAGGCTATGCAGTTAGATACTGCTCGGTAATGCAAGTGTCCAGCTGTTAGTCTGAGAGACTTGGAATGGATAAAGGATCAGTAATGAATACCAGGCAATGCGTTAAATGTTCCAGTAAATTTACATGGGAAATTAATAGAATTGTAAAGTGACTTTAAATTACAACCCCACTCTCTGCATCAGGACAGTGGTTAATGAAGCATACTTCTGGTCCTGACAGGGAAGAGTGATTTTTGAGAAACAGAAATTAATCCTAGTATCTTTATCATTGCGTTATCAGTGATTGATTGCTGTAAATGTTAAGCTGAACTACTAATGAAGGAACAACAATGCTTGATAATTGCTGAACTCTTTACTCCTGAGCCCTATTAACACTTGATGAAGGCCCAGCTGTATTACTCTTAGATTAGAGAGTGCATCCTTCCTCCTGAACTGTGACAACAGTCTTCCATTCCCGTGATATTAGGTTATGGAAGCTAGCTTGAAAGCAATGTCATTTTGTTGGGAAATGATGACTTGGCATCTGTAGCCCTTCATGTAATAATTTATTCTCATTAGTGACCTTATTGTCTCTGCTCTCTAGAGGCTGGGTTTTTTTTTTTTCTTTGATGAAGGCTCATGTGAAATAAACTTGCCTCACAGCATAATAACAATTCCTTCTCTCCACCTCAAACAAATGTCCCTGTGGTCCTGAGTTCTTTGGGGAAATACGGTTTTAGCTGAAATGCTTTGAATTCTTTGTACGTTTACAAGACACAGACAAATTATCCAAGTTATCTTAAAAATACTTGATTAATCCAAACCCAGATCCTCAATCCATGCTTTTAATCCTGTCATGCACAGTGATGCCTGGCCTGTGCATCTGTGGTAAGTAAATTAGTTCCTGGGTGAATACTGAAATGGAAGTATTCGCAGCCACTGGAGTCATGCGAGAAGCTCAAGTAAGAATAAAGCAATATCTTCCAGAAAGAGGAAGTGAAGGATCATTGTAATGTAAAGAAAAAGGGAAACAAGGATCAGAAGTTCTGTGTGTTTGTGGTGGTAACAACGTAGAGTTGTAAAGGCAATAGGGCATACTGGGAGTTTGTCAGGAGGGAAAGCAGCAGACCATTAGATGTCCTTCAATAAAATGTGGAAGGCAAAGTGACCCAGGAAATTCTGGCAAGGTAAGGAGAAAGACGACCTCATTCCTGGATGCTAGGCAGGGAAGGAGTGTCACAAAACCTTCCTATGAGAACTGTATAGAGCACATTGTGGATGACACAGGCAAAACCATCATAAGATGGAATTTACATAAGAAAATAAAAACATTAAAAATAGGTTGTATGGAAAGGCAGGAAGAGAATATATTCTTTTTTTCCCCCCCTTTTTTTCCTTTTTTTTTTCCTTTTCTGTTTCCTTTTCTTTTTTTTAAGGTAATGTGTGAATTTGCCAATCAGTGTGTCAGATCTTCAGCATTATTGTGTTTCCTTGGCATACACCCCCTCCCAATAGCTGCAGGACTTTCCCAGCCTTTGGATATTTTTAAGAGCCAGAATAGGGCTCTTAAATTCTCCACAAAGTTGGCACACTTTCCTATTGTAAGCTTCCTTCTTCTTTGAAGGTTTTGAGAAGACCGTCTGTATGGAGAAACACACAGAGCAGTCAACATATTCCACAAATCTGGGAAATGTCTTTTGGCTTGTCTGTGACTGATGGTGAAAAAACCCAGCAATCTTGCCTCAGTTAACAAATTGCTGCCAGCTGATTTGTTTTCAGGCAGCAGGAACACTCTACATCCCCCTTCATAACGCAGCTGAGGAAATTGAGTTTCCCTCAATGACTTCAGGCCCCATAGCTTCAGATGACCAATAGATTATCTAAAAATAATATTCCCAAAGGTCTTTCTCATTTCTGAACAGCATTTCTCTTCCTGAAAACCTCTGTTCATGAAAGCTGAGGTTTTTCTTTATGATACTGTTAGTAATGTAAATGTTCCTGCCACTTGAGGACAGAAATGGCTGAAATAAAGCCGTATTCTGAATTACTTGTTTCAGAAATGTTTGTGAATTCTGAGCTTGTGTTCTTTTACATTAAATTGTATCTTTCACATCAGACTTTGTACTGTGTGCATTTAAAAGTACATCTATAGAAATAGTACATGGGTAAGTGAAACTGGCACACAAGTAGTTTCTTAAGTTCAACTGTTCTCTCTCTGGAACTGGAACTTCCTCATGCCTTATTTGTGTAACTATGCTCACATAAACATATACACATTTACTCAGGAAGAGTTTCATCCTGCAAGGAATTAACAGCTATTGCCAAATACTCTAACAAGAAACACTATAAATTGCAGAATCCACATGCAACTGCACACTCAGAAAGTTTTCATTGAGTCATATTTCATTCCAAAAATTGTCTCAATCAGAACTGACTGCAAAAATCAGGAACAAAAACCATGATGAAATGATTTATCTTAAATTTTCAGAGTTTCTGTTTTTCAAAAGAATAAAAAAATCTTGAAGATAATTTGATAGTGTCCAAATACCTAGTGACTGAAAAATCGAAAGTTGCAGGCAACTGGTTAAAATAAAAGACTGTTTGTGTTCATGAGTAGGGCTTTAAATCCTGCAAGTGGAGTTGTGCCAGTGATTGGGCTGCCTGTACTTCACGTGTGTTTAGTTTGTTGCTGCAAATCACTTGTAGTGTGACAGCCCCTAGCTGCAGTTTTTACTAGATATGACTTTGACTCTTACAGTTTCTTCTTAATACCAAATAAGTCATTTAATTACCAGAGGATTATAGATGGGGCAAAACAAATGATAAATTCTGGCTGCTGGCAGGAGACCACAGATAATAATGCTAATACTCTCCTTTTAATGTCTTTGCAGATTTCAAACCTGTATATATACGACACCGTCCTCCTGTTGGCAAACGCCTTTCATAAGAAGCTGGAGGACAGGAAGTGGCACAGTATGGCCAGCCTCACCTGCATCAGGAAGAACTCTAAACCCTGGCAAGGAGGACGATCAATGTTGGAAACCATTAAGAAGGTACCTTTTCCCTCTATTTCCTCATCTTTGATTTCTAAAATAATTGTATTATGCTATATTTCCTTCTGAGGTGCATGCTATTCTTACCAGTACCAGCACTGTCTTTTCAAAGCAATAGTTTTAATATATTTGCAGTTTCTGAATGAAAATAGTCAAGTTGGTTTTGTTTTTTCTTTCCATATCATAATGAGCCTATTTGAAATTAAGTAAATGATTTTGTTTACCAAAATTACCAAACTAGTAGAAGTTTCCTATTGAAAAAGTGTCACAGATTAGGAGGTAAAGCAGATAAATTTACTATTTCATTTATAAAAGGAAAAAAAAAAGGTTGCAGAATTACACTTGCGTAATATTCTGTGTAATTTGCTGTTGTGCTGCTATTGACATTAATGTGGTGAAATAATAGAAATGAGAGTGAGGAAAACCCTAACTCATCTAGTCTAGATCCTTCAATAGCAGAACTGTTCCCTGTAACAGCCTCTACAGTGCTTTACCCAATGCTAAGCTCTCGCTGCTTGCCTGTGATTATTATTTCATTCCTTAACCACGCTCATGCCCAAGATGCTTCTCCTGTTCTTCACTCTTTAATGATACTTTTTTCGTAGTTATTCCCTTTCTTTGTTATGTTTACAGCCTCCACATACTTACAGACAATTATTACACCCTTTTGGGTCAGTATTTAGTCAAAATGTGTGTAGGTTGGTAGTCTACCTTTCCCTGTAAGTTGTTCGGTTCAGTCTCCTTATGTTACTGATGTCTTTCATAAAACTGCCTTCTCATTTCTCTGCATGTATTTCCTGGTAATGTATACTTACATTTAAAGTGCTGGTAGTGCCTACATTGTAAATACAAAAGACCCCAGGACAGTAAAAAAAAACCCAAAAAACAACAGATGGTGCTTTATTTATGTCTTTCATTAAAAGGACATAAAAAATAATTTGAAATACAATGTTGTTTCAAGAAGTTGCTGTCCTGCATTAGGTAGGCAAAATGTAAGGCTCCTTTGAACACTGCTTATTTTTTTCCCAGTCCTGAGTCAATCTGCATTAGCTCCAAAATAACAGTTCAAGGCTTTCTTTGGTGTCTGTCCCCAGCTTCCATTCTAATAGTTTGAAGCCATGAAACTGTAAGGATGATCCAGGACACATTTCTTATTTCAGGCGCAGGATCTGGCTTTCAGGGACTCTAAACTGTATTTCTCTTAACCTATCAGAGTAATTTCAAATTCACATTTGGCAGTCCCACTTATTTTATGCTATATTTCAGGCAAGGCTGGTTCTAGAACTTTTCTTCTCAAGTTGCATTTTGTAAATACTACTGCGAACTTTTTCATTAATAAACTAAAAGCTATTTCTGCTTTCTCAAATCTGAATTGGATGCCTGAGCAGGAAAAGTCAAAGTACCTGCTTCCACTTTAGAATTAGAATTTACTATCTGAGCTGGAGTTTCAGGCAAAGTCTGGTAGCCCTGCTAGCATCTCTAAATTTGGAAGTACTCCACCATGGAAAGGACTGCTGACTGTTTTGTATTATGGTTATTTGCTTGCTTATGTTGTTTGTGGATGTGAGACTGATCCTATTCTCCTGTGTAAATGTCTTTTATGCTGTTTCTTGCCACCATCTCATCTCTTTGCATCTCAGAGTTTATTCCATTCTTTGCCACATTGTCCCAGATATCCTTCTAATTCTCACCTCCTAAAATGATGTAATTATAAAACAAACTCCTTCTGTGACCTTTCAGAAGAGCTTGCACTGTGGTGAAGGTCAACTTCTGTAGCTCTTAACCCTGAAATGTGAAGAGAAATGGCCAGGAGAAATATGAAAGCATTCAAGAAGGAAGGAGCAAGTGGAAATTCCAGGGTTCTGGTTAGCTTGCTAGAAAATTAACCAAATACCAAGGAAGTTCCTGACACGTGCAGCTGACCAGGCTTGCATCCTGTTGCTTTTGGGTTTCTCTGCTATTTGAATGAGATTACTTTGATAAGAAGCCATTTTATTGGTGTAAATTGAATAATCCAAATAATCCTTATACTGCATTGTGCTGACAGAGGTGAATTTCTAGAAGTAATATGCTAAAATTGAAAGTCAAAATTTAGTCGAAAATTAAATACAGAAATTTCCTGTATGTGTGTGTCTGTACCATTTCAGTCCCTAGGCAGAGGAAAACTAAATATTGCAGCTGGGAGCTGGAATTGCACAAGAGGAATTCTGCTTTGGTTTTGTGGTCCACTTTCCCTTTTATTTTACTAAAGCACTTATGTAGAAGATCTTCAGGATCACAGCTGTGTATTTTTGAAATTAAGAATTTGGCATTGATGATTGTCTGATGAGGTGTCAGAAAAATAGTAAAATTTAAAAGTAATGGAAGGAAAAATAAAAATCACTTTGTTTATCTTCTTGAGAATACTTCCGTTTTCCACGTTGACATCTTTTCTCTCCTGTCATCTTGGAACATCCTCTAAAACCAACTGAAATAAAAAGATTTTCTTGAAAACATACCAGTTTTCCTTAATTTTCAAAGAAAAATTTGCCATGTAGTATTTAAATAGTTTCTTAATAAGAGGTTCTAGGTTTTAATTTTGAAATCAACACCGTTTTGAAGTAGTAGTGTATAATGGAATATCATAAGAGGATATCATTGTAGTTCAGGGTGAAGATGCATTCTGAGATTTCTTAAATGTTCCTGGAAAAAAGAACTTCTATCCTCTGCACAACTTTAACTCTGCCTTCATAACAACCTGTATCGCAGATCTGGAATCACCATCTTGTCCCAGATTGTCTCTCACCTCAATGTACTTTCAGTGAGTGTTGCATTGTAGCCAAGTATGGTGGAGGTAGGGAAGAGTTAAGGAAGAGATGCCTAATTCCAGCCTGCCTGCCTAACAAAAGGACTGGCAACTGAAGGAGCTGTTCTCCTGGCAGCAGCAAAGCGGAAGTGTTGTTGCCATCTACAGCTGCACACAACTGAGCTCTTGCTGCTAAAAAAAGCAGGAAAAACTAGCTCTAGAGGAAGCTTTTCTAGAGTAAATCCTATCTTCTGGAATCAGAGATCCAGAAACTAGAATATCTGGCAGTGTTTTAGCTGTAGAGGAGGGTCTCTCTTTGATTTCTGGAGGGGAAAGTAAGAAAAGAAATGTGAAATCTCTATAAATCTACACACTGAAGAAGGTAAGAGAAAGGGATGCTGATGTTCTACCTGCAGCAGCACTTGTTAAAAATAGGAGAACTCTGGTGGTAAATGAACTAATTTCTTTATGATTAATGAGCTAATAGGGAAGAGTAGGGAATGAGGGGTACTTAGTTTCAAACATTTCTTGAAATGGCAAAATAGCTGTCTGAATCATTCCCTATTGTCGTTTGTTACTTGTCACTGTTGAACATTTGATTCCTATGTCACTATTTCTACAAACAACTCCAAAAGCTGTTTTTTTTCTGTGTGAATTCAGCTGATTGGACAAAGCCTAAAAAGACTGTTTTAAGTCCACTACAATTATTGAAATCTAATATCTGTTTCTACTTATTTTGGAACTGAATAAATAGTTAAATTCATCAGGAAACACGAGCCTTCTAATGAATTTGGCCAGCTCTAGCAATTAATTCTAAATTCACTTCTGTATTAGGAACTATCCCCAAATACATGCTCACTTGTTTATTTCTCAGTAAAGCTATTTCACAGTTAGAGAAATAAGTATTACTAGAAAATAATTCTACTGTTGGAAGAATTGATCTTCCCAAACAGTCTGAGAATAAATGTAAGTAGGATTATATGGAGGATCAACTCAGAAAAATTACATCAAATTACTGCATATATCTTCTCTCACGCTTACCTGATCTCTTCCCAGTCACATTTTGTTTAGCTTACTGACAAAGAGCAAATTTTAAGTGCTAGCAGCAACACAGAGCCTATACCTTTGTGGAAAATGAGCTGTAACTCATGCTGTTTCATGAACCATAGGTGGAATTGTCAGCTAGTTCTGGTCTCAGAAATGTCAGCGGTGTTCAGTGATGACATGTGAAAAAGATGCCAGATCGTTTTCCAGATAGTAGATTAGATGCTCTTTGCTAGCAGCTAAAAATGGTGTGTTGAGTTGAAAACTCAGCAATGTTTTCAACATCAGATTTTTTCAGGAGTAAAATGTGAAACTCATTTAATGTTTATAGCAATTTTTTCTGCCTGTAACCATAGTTTTTTCTTCAAATGCAAAGTAGCTAGTGTCTGAGCATAACCATATTTTGAAAAAAAAAAAACAAAAGAAAGTTTGGACAGGATCTGTAAGAGCAAGTACAATATTTTATAGCTGATGATTGGCAAGCTGACATTCCCAGGTGAGGTCCTGACTGCTAGGTAAATAGTGCTTTCTTCAGGGACTTAAAGTATAGTAGTGCCTAAGCATATATAAACTGTGGTTTGTCTTGCCAGTCTAGATGGGACTCAAGTAGGCTTCAACTATATTGCCAAGCTTTGTAACAGCTCTGCAAAGTCCAGAACAGTGGTCAGAAACATAAGTAAAACATTTTTATCCTAACAACTGACATCTCACTCTTCAGTTTTAAATGTGTCAGGAAATTGTATGGTTGCAGCTCAACCTTAGAGGAATTTGAGAGCGTAGATAATAAATGTGTCTTCATTTTTCCCCAAACAGCATTTTTTCTGTAAGTTAATAGAATGAAAATTTTTTTTTACTCTTACCCATTATCATAATTAATGCTAAAATAACTTGGAAAAATCTCATCAGGAAATTACTGGGTCAGTAGCTGTCATATAGATGACCATTTCCCCTGCGATCTCCTTCCACTCTGCATTAGCAGAGGGTTAAAATACATGCCACAAATCAAGTGTGTGTTTTGGAAAGATCCACACGGTTAAAGTCCATGCAGAAAAATTAGAGCAGTGTCCTGAAACTTCCTAAGCAATACACTGTCCCGCTCAATCAGCCCTAAGCAATAAAAGAGGCTGGTGTAAGTCTTGTAAAAAGGCTGTGTGGGACAATGAGGACTAGTCGAGAGCAATAACAGGATTGCATGGCCTGCAGGTCCAGTAAGGTAGGTCCCAGGAAGGGAGAAGGCATCAGGACCTCCAAGAAGTTTCCTGTCAGATTTAGTATTGTCGTTAGTATTATATGGGCAGTTCTTCACTGTTTTGTCTTTCTGCCTCTATCCTTTCCAAGCAGGAGCATTCCATCTAACCTGAGCTCTTATTACACTATTTGCAGATGTACACAGTCTAGGAAAGAAAGCTCTAATCAAAGACACTCTTAAATGAGAAATTTTCAAAGCACGATAAAATAGCCAAAATAGATGAACGAAAAAAAATGTTGTTATGGATTTGAGACAAATAAAAATAACTAACAGACTTACAGTTTATATCTTGCCCCAACAGTTGCAGCCATTTAAAAATCAAGGTAAATAAACTTACACAATGGGTTTGGATAGAGATTCAATTCCAAAATATGGTAGTTATATCTGTTAACTTGTATTATATGTTAGGGGCCATGTATTTCCAAAGAATCCTGTGTTTTCTTAAAAGTGTATTTCATTACTTCAAGTGCAACTGAGGTGGAATACTTCTTCAAATGATTTTTTTTTAATCATATTTGCTCAAATAAGGACAAAAGTTATAAAAAATTTTGTTGACTAAAATTTTAAATTCCCGTCTCAAGTCTCAAAACTTCAAATGATTTTTTTTTAATTGTATTTGCTCAAATAAGGACAAAGATTATAAAAAAAATTGTTGACTAAAGTTGACTAAAATTTTAAATTCCCGTCTCAAGTCTCAAAACTTCAAATGATTTTTTTTAATCGTATTTGCTCAAATAAGGACAAAAGTTATAAAAAAATTTGTTGACTAAAGTTGACTAAAATTTTAAATTCCTGTCTCAAGTCTCAAAATTATTTACTTTTTAGTCATGATTCTATCTTCATGTCCCTTATTGGGAGCACGCTCAGTCTGGAAAATAAAGTCCCTTTAATTTTCTGTACTGAAAGTTCCCAATTTAAAGCTACTTTGTCATCAAATAAGAAAAAAGGAAAATACTTTCTGCTGTACAAAGCATTTGTGTTAACAGATTTTTTTGGGGTTTTTTTTTTGGGGGGGTTGGGTATTTTCTTTCTTTTACATTTTGTTCCAGAGTTTTCCCTTCATTTTTCCAGACCCTGCTTGTGGCTCACTTGAAATCATGATGCAGCTTAGGTCATCTGTAACAGATAAATAATTTTCTTACTTTACCTGCCTCAGACTCACAGGTTTAGCTCACATTGTGAGGGGAAAAGTTTTAGGAAGTTATATAGGAAATATGAAGTATAATGTAATAAAAGCAGTATATAGTAAGAGGTCAGTGTGGTGCAGGACGAGGAACAGGTGTATACTGTCAGGGAGGGCAAGTCAGCCAGATGGAGGCTTTCGGGGGTCAGATGGGGATCCCAAGCCTTCCAGATCTGTGCTGCTTTGCGGGCATTTCCACATCACATGTACCATGAAATTCTGGCTTAATTAATTAGAAAGCCAGATGACACCGTATGAGAAAAATGGTGTGTGGAACAGGTTTTTATTTCTGGTTCGTGAATAGGATGTAGTCAAATTCAAGTCAGCAGAAAAGGTTTATATTGAAACTCAGTTGTTTACCGTAGGATATGTTCAGATAATTTTGCAGGTAAACAGAAGCTTGCTCTGTCTTTACTCTGAAATAGCCAGAGATGTGCTAATCCTAATCTAAAAGCTATGAAGGTGTGATTATTACAGGATTGTGCTCAAGCTAATAAGTAACCTCAGTGTCATGCCAACCGTAGCGACATGCATCAAAATTGCCTGGCTTTCTCTCACTGGGGGTGAAATGACCTGGAGTCTTCCTGCAAAGACTGTGCAGATGCACTCTTAATCGGGATGTTGTATTTTCCTTTTTAAAAAATTTTTATTCTGGTATCTCATCCAAAAAGTAAATATTGTAGAAAAGATTAAAAGAGATTAAATACATATATACACACAAAGTATTATCTTGTTTTTAACTGAAAATGTCACTTCATGAAATGTTTATGTATTATTCCCTGACAATACAAGTCTCTAGTGAGTTTTAAAGGCATTCTCTCAACAATCAATTTCTATATATTTATTACAGCTGTATTAATGTTTTATAAAAGGATGACAAAATTTTGTTAGTTCATACTAATCTGCAGTGGAGATGCAAATTTTTTACTCCTTCCTGAATTTTCTCCAAACAGAAGATGTGAGAGTAGAGCTTTTAAAATCGTGATTCAGCAAGGCTCATGTTCTTATATAGGTAGTTTATGTTGCAAGAGACTATTTTCTAGTTTTTTCAGTTCAAATAGTAAGGTTCTTATACTGCAAGAGCAATCACAACTGCAAAACTCTTGCCTTATGTTTTGAAGAAAAGCTATGCATTTCGTATGGCTTTACACCAGAGGCAAGGGGTTTTTCTACATACGTAAAATATTATTCAAGTTTTTTTGAGGGAGTGGATTAAACATCTAATTTGCCCTGAATCTGAACACTGAAGAAATTTTTTAAGGCTAAAGGTTTTCATTGTAGACATTCCATGTGGCTCTGTTGATTTTACAGTTCAGGTGATCACAGTTCTTATGCAAAGATGAAATGTGTGTCATGTTGAATTAACCCTGGAATATATTTTGAGTATTGCTGTGGCATGTATAGCCCTTTCATCTCTGACTCTTTATAGGAGATATTCACTGTTTCATCTTGAGTATTTTAACCCCTTCTGACAAAAATTTTAAAAAGTAAAATTAAACTTGAAGATATGCTGCATTGTTGCTCGTCTCATGCATTCGTTGCGGTAGAGAAGAGTTGTGGAGGAAAACAGAAAAATCACTCTATTCAGCTATACAAGGCCGCCTTCGTTTGTGCAGATGACTTATGTTGGGCTCCAAAAACACCTGACTTTATCCAAAATTCAACCTGATCTTATGTGGAAATTGCTTTTGGTTGAGAAACATTTATGGGGGGAAGGAAAAAAAAACCCCACAACTATTTTTTGTGCAATTTCTTTTATAGCTTGGTCTTTAGTTCTGCTTCCACTAAAATTACATGTGAAACTTTTCTTTTTAATGAGGCTAGAATGTCTATACATATACACTGATGGGTCAAAGAACAAAAATTGGAGTGCCAATGCACAAGAGTAAGACTATTGCTTGTATTACATCTGCTTAGCATTGCTGAGTTTGATTCTTCTGTGAAAAACTTAAATGATGCAGAAACAATTTAAGCTTCAGAATTTTTAGAAAAATGTGGTTTTTGGAAAACTGTCCTAATTTTAGTAGTTGTGTTTGTATTCTCCATAGTTAGTGCACAAATCCCCTGGAGAAACAAAAGGTTATTATAGTTGTCTACTACTGAGTTTTCATTCCATTCTTCTTTTTTCCAACAGGGTGGAGTGAATGGCTTGACTGGAGAACTGGAATTTGCAGAAAATGGGGGGAATCCTAATGTGCATTTTGAAATTTTGGGGACAAATTATGGAGAAGATCTTGGCAGAGGCATCCGCAAGGTGAGGCTACCTATATTCAAACAAGAGACTGTTTTTATTGATTTTTTTTAAAACCTTTCTTGTGTTCCCTGTTAACAGCAAAATGCTGTTGTGTATCGTTAAGAAGAGTAAGAAATGGGAGAAAAGTCTTGAACTCTTAGATACCTATCTATCAAAGAAGCCTTGCAGTACGTTTTGTTGATCAAGTTGTTGTTTGTAATACTGAATGGTTAAACTGCTGGTCGACTGTCCCAAATGGCCAGTGAAAAGCTGTTGTTTTGCAACCCTTGCAACCCATTTCCAACCCATTTCCAAAATAGCAAATTTTACATTGAATTATGTTTAGATCAGCCAGATTGGCACTTGATACCTATGGTCAAAGTGAGATGCTGCTACCTTTAGATGAAGAAAATTCATAGGTACAGAAAGAGAAAATCTTAGACATATAGACAAATCATAGACAAAATTTCTGTAATCTCTTGTCTTCAGAAGTACATGAAATGTTTATGTAGAATTTAACTTTTACAGAATAAGTGTAATGTTATGTATTCAGCTGCCAGACACAGTCCAACTACTTGGACCTATATTTTTTGAGGAAATGGTGTACATCTCCAGCAAAACTACTTTATCTTGGCATTTCAGTTTTGCTAGTCTGTAAAAATAAATTTAGATCCTGTTTAAGGAATGATGGAAGCAGGTCTCCATTTGTAATGCATATCCTTAACTTTGGACAGCTGCCCATCTGGGATGGCAAAAGCAGCAAAAATTGTATGGCACTTCTTAGGAAAATGAAAGATTAATAGGCTTTTCCAGGAGCAACTCTCCTTCAAAGAGAGACCACCTGAAAGATAATACCAAGATCTCTTCATTTAGTGTATCAGATCCCATTCGTTTTTATATGTGAAGAACCTGAAATGCTTGTCTGAAAGCAAATGACAAAGAAAGTTATCTTAGTGTATGTAAATGGGTTTCATGTGTCAGTGTCATAATATGATGAAGTACATAATTTGTCTGCATACCTTCTGCAGTAACAGATAAGTGCTCTGAAAGAAAGAAGAGATAAGCAAGAAGTTAAGTGTTTTTCTTGAAATTTCTTCGCTGCTCTTCATTGGAATTGTTTTTCCATTCCTGCCATTTCATCTGTTGTCAATACCTGAATGTACACACATACCTATAGTTACATCACCTTGAGCAGAGGTCCTGACAGATTCTTTGAAAACTAAACAGAGCTAGATCCTGTTGATATTTGGAGTTGCAACATCTTTATGTGACCAGAATGTTGGATGAGTTCTTATTCCTCACCTGTAAATTCAGTCTGTTTCAACATATTTTGACTTGATTTATTTTCTGTACTATGGATCGAGGAGCTATTTATTCTTCAGAGCAACTGGGTAGTCCTTCCTAAGACAAATCTGTATCTCTTAATTTAATTTAATTGGTTGACTTCAGCTTCTTTTTGACTCCAGGCATGTCTGGGTGAACGGGTGAGTGAAGCATTAAATTGTATTCTTCCATTTCACAAAAAGATAGAAGATTCACAGATAGGTCTTGGAAATAGAGAAGTACAAAAAGACCTCCTAGCCTTTCTAACTCTTTTCTGATGGTATAATTTAGATTCATAGTGCAAATTTAAACTATGGTACAGTTTAGCTTTAAAGAAGACATTAATGACCATGGGCACACATAAGTCATGCAAAACAATCAGATAGGACAAACAGGCTTTTTGAACCTTACTTGTTTACCCGTTATCATAGTCCAAGGATGAAGAGACATTCACTGTCTTTGAAAGGAAGTAGATTTGAAGTTGGTCAAAGAGAAAAGAGCTTTGCACAGAATATAGTTAGACCCTGACACTCAATGTCACAAGACTCTGTTCAAGAGAAAAGCAAAGTTAAAAAGACACTGAAAGTATGTATTTTTTATGTTTGCCAAGATGAGCGTTTCAAATTAAATTTAGAGATTATAAGAAAATTTTCCTGTTGAAGGTGGCACTGTGAATGTCTGTCCTTAGAGTTTTGTGATACACTGCAGCTGGTTAAAAAGAAGAAAATGTCCAGAGCAGAACAGATTTAATCTGTTCCATTTTTTTTTCTTAACAGCATTCAGTGATCCAGAGAAAGCTTTAGACAGAGTCCTGGTGTAGAGAAAGGAACTTTCTTTAGAAAGAAATTTCTGTATATATTGTAAGAATGTGATAATTGTTCTTGGAAACATCTTTTAAAAAAATTCAAAATAATTCAAATTAAATATTATATTCTTTTTACACTAAATTGAGAAGTAAACAAATTTGAAATTATATTTTTTTTACACTAAATTGAGAAGTAAACAAATTTGAAATAAATATGGTATTTATAATCAATGTCACAAAGTTAAAAAAAAAAATAGCTGGGGATCCTAAAACATTTACATCAAAGACAAGAAAATTTTTAAGAGGAAAATGCCATATGTTGGTTTTACTGTTTTGACGAAAGTTCACATATTTTATCTTTGATTAGATTTTACTCTACAGTGTGTGAGCCATTAGTGCTGGAAGCAAACCACAATAATTACAGGAGTCAGATATATTGTTGTTAGCTACACTAATTAAAGTGCACTTCAGATTTTCATGTATTTTTCATGTAGTGGTCTGACTACCATTTTTATTTCTCAACCCTAGTGGAAGCAGCTGCAATTAGCAAACTGACTGAAATTTCTAAACAAATGCATCTTCCCTAATTACCATATTTCTAAGTACTTTTATAGGAGATAACGAAGGGTGAAATCACGACAGAAGGCCCATTGAAGTCATTGGGACCAGAAGTTCACACCAAGTCAAGTGTGCAAAGATTTTTTAATTTATTTTTTTCTTGAGGAACAATCGATATTTTATTTTATTTTTTAAATTAAAGGAAATAAAATTTTAAAAGGCACTTGAATTTCTCAAGAGTCCAAATTCTGCTGGAAGTCAGTTCTGTTTGGGTTCTGGAGTCATTTGGTTACGTCTGAAAAGTTCACTATATACACAGATTAGTATCCCTAGGAGTCAAAAAAAGCACAGTTTAGGAAACACCAAGAATTTCATGTTTGTGTGTGTGTTTTATTGGCAAAATTAAGCCACGTATCTAGCAGAAACTGTCTGCAAGTCCCCTCCTTCAACTTTGATGGGCAACTGTCACACCTGGAAAGCAGTGGGAGCATTCATGTGGAAGCTCATTGTGTTGGGGTCCTTCATCTAGTGCCGAGTTAGGAAATTCAGGAGTGGGATTTGCCTGAAATACAATTTTGTACTATTACATCTGTAAATGTTATCCATCACCTTGCAGTCCACGGATTGCTTAGGCTATATGTGTTGCCAGAGTCGGGTACTTGGAGTAATATAGTCAGATCACTGCCAGATACTGATTTAATTGACACCAGTGATGTTACTGTCCCAAAGGAACTGCAGAAAAACTCTTGCTTTTACACATCATGCTGTGGCTTGTGTTTGTGCAGATATAGTTATATTCAGTGGGAGACATGGGTGAATTTCTGACATTTCTCTGTTGGCATTTGTCTGTTGCTATTTGACATTTAGGTATGTATTCTTTGACATTTAAATTTCAGTGCAATACTTTTACCTATACTGTTGAAATAAAAGCTGCCATTCCTGTGAATAACCATACAACAAACGAACGAACAAAAGGGAGTTGATAGCTCAGAGGAGTACTGTCTTGCATCTTAGTGGTGTAAAAAACAGCACTACAGAAATGAAGTGGTTTTCATGTTTCTTCCAGTGCTTCTCGTAATTCCGAACGGGCTCATCCTCAAAGGCTCTGTGCTACACCTTTTGAAGTTCAGGGGACTTTCTTCCTGTTCCCATACTGATTTTCTTACCGCATGTGGACATTTGGAGATCGTGGTGCATTTTGCTCTGCCTCCATATCCTTGTTAGCACACACTCACCTCCTGTGCATTTCTCTTATTTTCTGAAGGCTGTTTCTGTCATTTCCTCCCAGTGAGGAATGAAGTGATGTGCCAGGCACTTGCATCTCTTCCTCTCTGCACTAGGATGTCCATGTCAAGGCTTTCTTTGCATTCAGGACACCTAGCGATGCCTTGGAGTAAGGATAGAGCCGTGGGCATGCAGGAAAAAAGACACCCTGGGTGAAGATACAGTGACTGATTCTTTATTTTCTGCTAGCTTCTGCAAATCTTTTGTGTAACTTCAGTGAAATTTAATTTGGCTGGAAAGTGTGTGGAATTTGCATGTTATCACAATGAAACTAGTCCTAGTAGAGTACTGTGATTTGCTTGCAAGTGTACTTCTGTTTAGCTTAAAAGCCAAACTAAATGCATATTTGAATCTAGTGGAAAATGGAAAAAATGCCTCTATCCATAATTGTATTCCTGAATTTTAAAAAAAATTAAAAGTTTAAAAAATTTCCTTCTTTGCTTTTGAATAAAGCATTTTCTTTTAAAATGTGAGACTTCAGAGAGAGAGAGACAGGGTGACTCAAATTAATCAATAGTGTACCATCTGGAGAATTTGTCAAGTTTTGGACTCTCTGAGTCAGATGGAGGATGCAGAGAAACTTAAACCTTGGTGCTGGACTGTCCAGGTGCCTGCCCTGACCCCAGGCTGTTTGTCTGGATGAGTAAGTATTTCAGTGTTCATAACAAGTGCAAAGTAAAGAAGCCAGAGATGGATTTGGTGGCTTGGGTGGATGCTGCCACAGAAGTACAGAAGACCAAGGTTCAAGTCCTTCTTCTACTGATTGTTAATAAATGCAGAGCAGAGCTGCTACCACAGGCAGTGTTATGAGCAGCCTGTTGCCTGTGAACTATTCACCTGTGGAGCAGGACATCCGCCAGGACTACATGAGAGCCAGGATAAGGTTTATGAGCAAAATCACCCAGAACTCAAACTCCAAACTAATGCCCACAAAGGCAAGGCAAACATAGTGCAATAGAAACATATTATCCCACTATTTCTCGTTAGAAGCAGCACAGTCAGCCACGTCTGCTGATCTCCACTGTGCTCAGGCATTTGAACATAGCAGGAC